CTCAACTTTTCAAAATTTCGAAAACTGACTTCTGTAGATGGTTATGCTAAAGTATTATGGTTAATTACGTCAGTAAATTGAATCTGAGGAGAGAAGTTGTGTTTTGCGTCCGGTAGGCGACGTTTCGGTCGGAAAAAGTGTGAAATCCGTACGAAGCGAAGCAGCTGCCCCCTTAAGTCGGTCGCGGCTACTTCCCTGTGCAGCCTGGGAAGGAATCTCAATTAGAATTTAGAGAGATGGGATCTAAGTAAAAGGCTGATGCATCTACAGAGGACGAACAGCACATCGGGGGCGGTGTAGGTCCGGAGGTCGAGGTCGGGCGGTGGCAAGTGACAGGCACGCAGGTCCGTCGGTCCGCCCTCCCTGACGGCATGGAATTAGTTTGCGGCACGGTAAAGCTTTACCTGGGCCCGATGGCCCGATGAGTTGCCCGTATAATATATGTGCCTTGATGCCTTGAAACTCATTGTCTCGACCGGGATCATTAAGGGACCCACAACGGACAACTCGATATAAAATAACTAATATAACAAGACCTGGCCATTATTCAACTCTGCACACTGTCTTTGCTTTACTTTTCTCCGGCCATTTAACGATATGCCCTACCACCACTTGCATTGCATGTACCATGTAATTTTTTACTAATTTTTTAAGAATTTTAGGATCCAACGAACCTAGTTTTTAAAACAACTAATTAGTCCTGGAAACCAAGGGTTTCTCCTCCGAATTCTTTCGGATAGAACCTATTGACGTGAAATTTGGACTGTAAGTAGAAAATAACTCAAGAAACAAAAGTTATATAGTGCCGAAATAACCCCAGGAATCGATAAAGCAATCCATTTTAGGCAAAAAGTATCTTATGAACATTTTTCGACAAGTCAATATTTTCTGATTGAAAATGTACATTTTTTATTAAAAAAGACGTTTTTCAGTAGTTTTTCTCGAATAACTCGGAAAATTGACATTCTATGTAAAAAAAAAACATCACGAAGAGAATGAAGCTTATAGAAAAAGAAAAAGATTGAGTATTTTTTCAATTATGTAGGTGCAATAGGTGCTGAGATACGGTTCGTTAAAGATAATTTCATGACCACCAAAAAACGAAATCGGAAGCATTTAACGTAACATAACTAAAAAAAAATCTATTTTTCAAGAAAAATGCACAGAACATTTTTGAAGGTACTTAAAAAACCTTTAAAAAAGAACTAGACTTTAAGTCATTAGCATAAAAATTAACAGTTATTTATGATCAGAATAAAACTGTTAATTCGCTTTTTCGGAAGAAAAATCAGTACAAAAACTGATGAATTTTTCACGAGATTTAAAATTAAAGGTAATCCTTCTACAGTTTACATTTTTTATGTGCTAACAATAAGTTTAAGTAAGTTTAAGCGTTTAGAATGCATATTTTTGAAAATATTACGTTTTGATTAAAACAATTTTTTTTAATTCCAAAAAAAATAACATATTTTTGAAAATATCTTTAAAAATAAAAAAGATACGAAAAATATTCAAGAGTACAAAAGTTTTGATTTTTTTCCACATGATATATATTTTTTTATTTGTGTAGGATAAAAATTAACAGAGACGTCGCTGCTAGAAGTTTAACCTCAAAAATCTCAAGAATAACGCGTTAAAAAATATTCAATTTTACAGTACTTTTAGCTGTCGAAATCGTTTTGGGATCGTCTTAATAGCTTTAAAATTAAGGAAGTTATCGTTAAAAAACCGTACCTTACCGCTTCAATTTTCGGAGCATATCAATATTTTGGTTATCCACAACTTTGGAGCATTCTATATAACTTCACATTTTCCCTATCATCTTTTAATAATTCTACTTATCAACTTTAAATGTATAAAATTGTTTTTATTTGTATAATGGAGGATGATTTTTAAGAATCTGATAAACACTATAGGAGGGCATAATTCATTTTAAATAATTTAAAAGCCATTTTTTTATATTTTGTCATTGGGGGTGGTGTTTAAGGATTAAAACAATGCGATAAATTATAAAATGTATTATAAACAGGTAAAAGAATTTAATTTATCCTGTTTATACTATCAAATCATTTCAAACTGTTAAAAACTATTTTTTTTATATTTCCCCTTAGGGGTAGTTTTTAAGGGTTGAAATATTGTAATAAGTTATTTATAATATCATAAACTATTGCTATAAAAATATTTTAATGTTAAAGAAACTATTAATTTTATATTTTTATCATTAAGGATGGTTTTTAAGGGTTGAAACTTTATAAAATTAACGTAAGTTATAACCCACAATATAAAACAATATTTATTCTATATATTAAGATTGATTTTAGTATATATAACACCTACCTATTTTTATATTTATTCAGTTTTTTAGTAAAAAGGATGGTTTTCATCCCCTAAAAATAAGAAGCGCATATCAAGCATATATAACTTTTCATCTACAGGGTGAAATAAGCTTAATTCCAAAGTTTTATAAAAATCGGATCTATTCGAAAGTATTCGGAGGTTTTACCCTATTTTTCCCTTCGTTTCCTGGACTAAATTTACAGTTTAATGTTCTCCAAAATAAAGTACTATTCTTTCTCAATATTTCTAAGGGACAAGACATTTAAATATACGAAAATCGAAATAATACCATTAAAAACAATTAAATACCCATAAACAATTCTATCACTTCTATTACATCTTGCTTATTGGTAATTTTGCAATATCTTTAGGTAAAAAAAAATTTGATCAGAATATACCAGAAAATTAAAAATATAAAAAATGAACCTGCAGGCAAAAAAAAAATTCTTGCGTTGTCTTGCAAGAAAATTATTTATTTATTTAAATACTTTAAATTTCTACCCAGAAATATAATGTCTTACTTTAAAAATAGACAGCATTTAAAATAAATATTTGATACTTACGGTTAAACGATTTCTATTCTTAATTTTATGATCTGCATAGATTTTATAGAAACATTATGTTTTCTATTGTATATTAATGCATCGTTTATTTAATACAAAATTGAATAGTTTTGGTCAAATGATTGTATATACTTATTTTAAGAATATATTTGGATATAAATATTTCTCAGTAATAAAAAATATTTTGTTTCACTCACAACACCTAGTACAACAGCTAGGATCGTTCGTAAGTTTAACCAACCAGACATAGGTCGGTTTGGGACTTATATTATGGTCCTCATCTTTATGTCGTTAGAACGATCTAGCTGCTTTAGTGTCGTTAATCACAAGGAGATGTGTATACACAGAGCGTAAGTATCTCCATCTATCGTACGCCATTCTGTGATCTGCTACAATTTTCTTTCAAGAAAACATAAGTTTGATTATAATATGCTACATTTGTCTTGAATAATTCCTACGTTAATACTACATTTTAAGGAACTGGTAGTTTTGAAACAAACATGTTTGCAGTTTATGATGAACTGTAAGAGGCTAAAACTATAAAAGATTTGAATTAAAATATATATATTTACAATTAATATAAATTCTAAGAAAAATTATAGATTACAGCAAATATTTCACATAGTTTGACGAAATTTGAATAGAATAAAATAACATTTACAGCAAATAATTCCATTTCAAACTACCTGCTTATTTGATCCAAATACTTTTTTTTTAGTGTGGAATAATTAATAAATAATTAATAACTTTCAATATTTGAGAAATAATTTACTTATAGAAACATCATTGAAATTTGAAAAACATTTTGAAACATTGGTAAAAATAAAATTAAGATACACAATTCAAAATGGCTTTTCCGATAAAAATAATTAAATACGCTACACTTTTTAGAAACCTTATTTTTCGTATTTGACCGTTTAAAAAAGAACAGTGGTCCGGTGATGCAAATGCACAAATCTACGGAAAGGGATTTGACGTATTACAGTTGGCTTAACTTAAAAATATAATCCCCATTTAAACTTATGGCAGCAAGCCATTAGAATCTTTTCTTTGACTAATTATTAGTACGGCCAGTTAGTTTTGTGAGAATACCGTGTCGAAAGAAAAGCCTATGGCGCTTAAATACATTTGAAATTTTACCTGTGCGTTTCCCCGATATTAAACATATTCCAGACTGCTATAACGACCCTTAAATAATCAAGAAATATTATTAAATTAACTTCTGGATGAAAAAAATGTGATTTATACCACCCTCATTAAGAATAATAAATTGATCTCTGCTCGCGTCAAAGTACAGTTGGGAGTTAAAAACACAATAAATAACAACATTTTGCGGTAATGGACATTAAAAAAATTGCAATACTGTTTAAAACAAAAACAGTAGAAACATCCGCAAAAATTTAAAATATTTAGAAACATCAGAAAAATATTGAATGAATATTATTAAATTCTAACAGTTAAAAACTGTTTTATATCGTGTCGCTTGTTAAGCGTTGTACTAAAAAAATGCAATTTATAGCATCCTCTGTCAGAATAACAAATTGACCGGCATCGCCCTTACTATGCAAGCCTTATTCTTTGTATGTGTCCAGGGAATGAAAAATACCAGTTATTAAGTTCGTCACGAAGTGATTGAGGCCATTAGATGGATCTTTGCATATTTATTTGTCAATCTATCAAAGGGGTCAATGGGATGTGTCGTCGTGGCGGAGACGCCCTTAGTCGCCCGCACAGAAGGGGTGAAAATCGATTGAGTCCTAAGAGTCCGCAACTATACCCATTAAAGCATTTTCTACAATTCACTGGAAGCTTTTAACTTTGCGTTTTTAGTTCCTTGAGATTACTTTGTCGGGATGCCACGACCGTAACCCTTCTGAAATATTAAATCGCTTTTATCAAGTGACGTCACTGATCTTAGACAGTCCTGATTTTACTTAGAAAGGAAACGTTTATAATAAATTCTATAAAAAATGATTTATTAAATTTTTGTTAAAAAAAAATTAATGCGAACAATAGAAATTGTCGTGGATTTAGGTGGTTTTTCTACTTTCATGTTGGAAATTTGAGCCCTTTCATTGTGAACCATGTCGTGGAAAGTACCTCTAATATGGGGCAGATAGACGATGTTATCGAGATCCTCAGGGCTAGCCTGCGGTATTGTGAATGGTTTAAATAATGCAAATATAAAAATTTGCAGCGTACTAATGTACTGGCCGGGTATCCGTCTCTGGTTAATAAGCTGCAGGGTACTTGGGTCGACGTTCGAACTCAGTTCAGGCTGCGTCCGCAGGGTCCCTGTACTTGCCCGCACGTTGATCTTGGAAAACCTCATCGAAAAACACCCGTCTTCTGATGACCTATAACTGATTTTGATAATTTATGATGGTACCTATGGTGCTGCTTCAGTCCGAACTTCGTAATATGTATTTGGAAATGTTTTAATTTCCAAAAATTCGGAACTGAGGCGAAAACTTCCCGCGCTCTTTATTGGCGTCGTCTGTGACGGCTGATTCTACTTGGCGGCAATCGGGGCTTCGTAGGGGATTTTTGGGAGATATTCGGAACATCGGTGAAAATCTCGTTTCTCGGTAATCTCGGTCTGTGCTTTCCGATATGGGTAGTGGGTCAGTTGAGGTCCCTTGTCTACGTACTTTTGGTGGGATTTGTACTGCGTGAGTGTGTTTTGAAAGATTTCTTGCATTAAATTGGAAACTTAAGCGAATTTTAAAAATCCGCTGGGCACTCTTACTACGATCGAAACAAGAAGCAGTCAACAAAACGTTGGTTATTCCAGTATTTCAGATATTGGGTTATTTTTTCCCATTTCTAGGAAATTTCTCTCCCTCTCCCCCCTCTCCCTCTCTCTCTTTCTCTCCCCATCTCTCTATCCCCATCTCCTCTCTCTCTGTCTCCCTCGCTCCCCTCTCCCTCTCTCTCCCTCTCTCTCCCCTATCTCATATCCTCTCTCTATCCTCTCCTCTCTCTCTATCCTCTCCCCTCTCTCTATCCTCTCCTCTCTATCCTCTCCTCTCTCCTCTCTCCTCTCATCTCTCTCCCTCTCTCTTCTCTCTCCTCTCTCCCTCTCCTCTCTCCCTCTTCTCTCTCCCTCTCCTCTCTCCTCTCTCTCCCTCCCTCTCCCCACCTCTCCCCCCTCTCCACCCCTCTCTCCCGCTCTCTCTCCTCTCCCCCCTCTCTCTAGGAAAATAAAACTCTAAGTTTGCGTCCACCCTGTATATGAATCTGTAACGTGGGCTAATTCAATTTTTTTCATCTTAACTTGCAGTATTTTGTGGTAATTGTCCAATTCCTTCTGCCACTGATTTGTGACTCTTGAATTGTAGGCTGAGGTATCATAAACTTTTGGTATTACCAAAGATTTGGGACTATGGGCTTTATAAATACTTAATAGCGATAGATTTGCATACAAGTGGTTTTGAGGAACAATAAAAATTTAAAACAGTGGATGATTTTAGGTCAGGAGATACCCGATATGCATTTCACATTCCACAGCTATACGAAACGTATACCTATCTCTCCCTTTCCAGCTAAAGCGCTTATTACGAATGCTGGAGGACAACTCATTTCCAATTCATGATACCAAGTAATTAACGTGTTGCCCCACAATTTGACACATTACTAAATAACACCTACACGTTCGGCGGCTGTTTTCGGCAAAAGACCAGGCGACTGGATAAATAAACGAAATAATTGGATTGGCAACAGTTAAACTGCGCAAATGGGGTTTTTCGTATTTGTTTAACATTACTTCTACGCCACCTAGATGTGCGCGTAATCGCCGTAAAAATGTTTCACTCTGTTATTACCTTTAAAATTGTGTATGTGTGTGTTTCGTGTTAATATTTACTTCTCAGCTACATTATGACAGTTCCGCCTGTATGAAAAATGTAACTATTATTTACGGAATAAAGCAAGGGCAAATTAGTAATCCGACCGTCGCAAATTAAAAAATAAAAAAAGGCATTTTGCAGTGATCACATCTTTTGTTGGTCGGTATTGTCAAAGGAGGCACCTTACGGCATTTGACTTTAACAGGGGGTGGCCGACCCCTGCGGCCGTTACGACTTGTGACAGTCGACAAACGACATTCTTATCTCATGTGTACCTGTCACCAGCGATATTAGAATTCATCTTTAAAAATGCCCCGTCCATTCTATTAGAGAGACATCAATAAGGTGACGTGTTTTGTTTAAAATATTAGCCACATTTTTTATACTTTCAAATCCGGGAAAACACTTTGACGATGCGCTGTAAAAAAAATGAAGTGAAATATTTGTCTTTCCAAATTGGACACATAATTTATTATGGATTTGTATGCTGCACGTTATTAATAGTTTCTTTTTTATGACATTCTTTAATTGTGATTCCGTTTTTCAAAGTACCATTTTAATGATTGTAAAATTTCGAAAGTTTAGTAAAAATCGGAATAAATTTTTGGATTTGCTTAACCTGCTTTTTGGATTATAACTTCACTTTTAATAGTAACTATTAAACATTATTTCAAATTTCAAAAATTTAGTGAAAATTCGAAATTAAAATATTTTTGATTATAGTTTGTTTTACACACGTTTTAATGGTTATAAAATTTCGAAGGTTTAGTAAAAATTTGAAATACTCTTGTGTTTCAAAAGTGAAAAAGATTTTTATTTTCATTTGAGTTGTATTTAAATTTGTCACGCAAAAAAAATTTCTTGCTTTAAATGTACAACATTTGATTTTAAGGTATCGCCCGTTTATATACAGGGTGTCCCGAAATTAGGGGGCAATATTTCTACAGGATGTTCTTTGTCCAAAAAGATTACTTTTTCTTTATATGTTAAACGTGGGTCCATGTTTTTTTCTAAATAACTCCGAAACAAGTTGAGATAAATTTATGAAATTTGGTAATTAGCTTAACTCTTACGTGCTCAGTCCGCTACTAAAACGAAATTTACAAATTTTCATCACATACGTTCCTACACTGGGGGGAAGGGGGTAAAATTTACCAAAACTTTTTTATGCTTTGACTTTTTTTACTTTTGACTGAAAAGTATGACATTTCAGAGTTTTTTAGTAAAAAAAGGTACTCTTAGTCTATATTGATAGTGTTCGATTTTTGTGTAAAATCCGTTTAAAAATATTGTACCATGTATTAATCACCGGAAATCGAAATTGTCAATATTTTCTATCGTAGCGAGTTGTGAAGAACAAAAACACGTTTGGCGTCATTTGAATTCAGTTATTTACTTTTTGCGAATTGTTATTTTCACAGAAATTTATTATTTTTAGTTAATTATTATTTGACAAAGTAAAAAAAAACAAGCTGCTTTAGTGGCATTACTCACAAGGAGATGTGTACACACAGAGCATAAGTGGCTCCATCTATCGTTCGCCATTCTGTGACCGGCTACAATTTTCTTTCAAGAAAACATAAGTTTGATTATAATATGCTACATTTGTCTTGAATAATACATATAATACATATATATTTTAAGGTACTGGTAATTTTGAAACAAATATCTTTGCAGTTTATGATGAACTGTAAGAGATATTGTAGCTAAAGTTCGAGATAATAATAATTTGAATTAAATTATGTATATTTACTAATAATATAAATTCTAAGATTACAGCAACTATTTCACATAGTTTGACGAAAGTATATATGTACATTTGAATAGAATCAAATAACATTTACGGCAAATAATTCCATTTTAAACTATCTGCTCGTTTGATCCAAATACTTTTTTTTCAGGGTATATTTTACTGTTAATATAAAATTAATTAATATTAAGATTAATTAACTTTGAATTAAATTAATTAAGACTTAAAGATTAAGAGAAAATTTTAAATTATGTCGTGCTGTGAATTATGTTCTGTTAATCCAATATGAATAGATTATATTCTGTAAAACCTAATTCTTTATATTCTATTATTTAGTGGGATACATTTTTGCAGTAATTCACTTTTATTAATAAAATTGTCAGCTATTTTAAGGGGACTTTTAATACGCCAATTAACAGTTAATAAGTTAAGAAAACGGCATGTATAATGACTGTGTTCTTTTATTTTATTGGTGAGGAGACCAAATCGGGCCTGTAGGAAAGGTAGGTAACGAAGGTTTGTTAAATTTATTTGCAGTTAACCTTCCCGCAAACGACTTATCCTGCTGTGAAAATGCTCGTAAAAATACTAACATGATTGTCCGCGTAATAAAAGCTTTATTACGTAAAAAGCAAAAATTGGCTCGGTAAACTTCGCTTGAGTTCAAAAGACGGTGTCATTAGCCAGCTGTAAAGGTAAAATATTGCCTTTACGAAAAATCACTGTCTGTTATGTGAAAATACTCTTTTATTTTCTATACGGGGTGAGCACATACTCGCTTCGAAATATGAAACAAAGAAGGTCGTGTACTACTGCTTTATCAGATTCAAAAGTTCAGTGAAAATTGGAAATTATCTTCGTATAACAGTTTCCTGTTATGTTGTTCTTTGGTTGTAGCTCCTTTATAACAATCATTTAATTTAACGGGTTATAAATTTTCAGAGGTTTGTTAAAAATCCGAAATTATTGTACATATTTCCAAAAAAGATATTTTAGTTTTTAAATATTTTTAAACATATATATTATTTTGCCTTTTTGATATAAACTGTTTAAAGAATTATTCAAAATTTGAAAGTTTGGTGAAAATTCTAAATCATGTGAATTTAATTATTTTGACTTTATTAGTACACTGAAAAAAAGTATTTGGATCAAATTAGCAGATAGTTTTAAATGGAATTATTTCCGTAAATGTTGTTTTATTCTATTCTAATGTATATACTTTCGTCAAACTATGTGAAATATTTGCTGCAATCTATAATTTTTCTTAGAATTTATATCGTTTGTAAATATATATAATTTAATTCAAATCTTTATATTTATAGTTTTGAAATTTATTATCTCGGACTTTAGCTACAATATATCTTACAGTTCATCATAAACTGCAAACATATTTGTTTCAAAACTTCCAGTTCTTTATATAAAAGTTGTTAGTTTTTAAGATATAGCAACATTTCTGGAAAAACCTAATTTTTATTATTTTCGAAATGGCTTTGGAAAAAACTGTCACATTGTGTCAACTTACGTACATAATTTATCATTTCCATTTTTAAGTTAATTTTATTAGTTAATATTTATTTATGGTATTCTATAAAATAATAATGTTGCTATATCTTAAAAAATAACAATTTTAGATATAGAACATACTGAATAAAAGTTGAAGTGGACTGTTATGTGAATAAAATAGAACAATATTTTAGAAAATCAAGTTTGAACTTTCTAAAAATGATCGTATTGTAAAAAATGTCCTGTATAAAATATTTGCCTATAACTCTGTCAAATATTTTTCGAGGAATTTTCTACATAACTTGGCAAAAAAGATAAACTGTTTATATTGTCATATATAGAATTATCTCGGAAATCCCATTTAAAAAATGTAATATTTGGCGTGACCTGTTTTTACTCATCGCCCTATATGTTTCAAATTAATTATGTAGTTTAGGTTTTTTAATTCTGTACAACTTTTATATAAATTTGTTTTTCTGTATTATGAGTAACAAGGGAGTTATTTTACTTTCTCACACTAATGGCCCACCCTGTATAAACGGGCGATACCTTAAAATCAAATGTTGTACATTTGAAGCAAGAAATTTATTTTTGCGTGTATATTCGTTACAGTTTTTAACACATCTTAAAGATCATCGAGGAAAGATTCGGAGAATTAATATTATTTTTTAAATTGTTCAGGGACGCAGTATCCCACGTTTGCTACATTTTTTAGACACTGTACGGTAAAGGACAGAAGAAGAAGAGGCGAGGTATGTTCGACAGTGGCTGCATTCGACTGGGATAGTTAATGGGAAAGTACCTATAACTGTTTCTGTTCGTGTTGATAATAGCGAAATCTTAGATGTGATGCGATTAGTTCACCCAGAAAATTAGGCTATTAATATGATAATAATTCGATTTAAGAGAGATGAACGCGGTCCATTCGAAGGCCGTATTTTTTGTGGTTACATTTCGGGTGCAGTAATTTTAAGGCTAATTAATTTTCGGATACCTCTTATAAGTTGTAACAGTTTACTATTTAAGATAATCTCTAGTGTTTTGAATAATTATCCTCGGGTAGATCTTATGAAAGAACATTATACAATTTAGCATAAGGTGTTCTTTTATTAGAAATGAATTACCTACTCCAGGTATTGTTATCTTTTCGGATGATATGTAGCGAGAGAGCCGAATATATTGCGTGATGCATGCAATGGTACTGTGGTCGGAATATAGTATAGCATAGAGGAGAATCAGAAGGTAATATAGACGTGATGAAAATATCGCATTGTGTTTATTAATAAAGGGTTGCCCATTACCAGACAATGGATAAAAATATTTCAGGGTCCCCCTTTTAAAAAAGATCAAAATATACTTCATACGTTTGATGACAGCCGAGCTCTTCAGTTCTTTCCGGATGTTATCCTCTTCGTTGCTGATTCCCTATTGATCTACGATGACTATGTGAATATTAAACACCGAGGGCTTCAAAAAATAAG